AGGGGACCAGGTCCATCCAAAAAAACCCTATTTTTTATGGAAAATTAAATTTTGAGCAAAAATTCTCAAATCGCATAGTCGATATCAAATTATAGTGACCTGTTTTATATGACCCAATATGTTCTTAATCATTTTGTAACTGGTTTCGATAACCCCGCCCCTGGTATGGATATAATAGGCAAAAAACTAAAAAATCCCATTTTTGGGATTTTTTAAAACTTTTTTGGGAATTCCGGGATTTCTAATAAGAAAATTCGAAATTTTGATTTAATTTTGGATTTTAAGTAAAAAAATCTACCTAACTGTAAAATTTCATCAAAAAATATTCATAAATAAAATTTTTATTGCAATTAGAAAAATTTGTATCTTCGCAAAAACTGAATAAAAAACATTTTTTAATTTTTTTTAAAAAAAGTATTCCGCGAATTTTTTAATTTTCAAAAATTATATACAGTTTTGAAAAATAGACAAAATTACCTTTCCATTGATATATAACATGCCTACCTAATGTTTTTTAAGTGACAAATTAATTAGGGAAAACTCAACATCTTTTAGAAAATTTGCCTAGCACTATTATTTTCATCCATAAGGTTAACTCTTAAATTTGTTACATATATGGATGAAAATAATAGTGCTAGGTAAATTTTCTAAAAGATGTTGAGTTTTCCCTAATTAATTTGTCACTTAAAAAACATTAGGTAGGCATGTTATATATCAATGGAAAGGTAATTTTGTCTATTTTTCAAAACTGTATATAATTTTTGAAAATTAAAAAATTCGCGGAATACTTTTTTTAAAAAAAATTAAAAAATGTTTTTTATTCAGTTTTTGCGAAGATACAAATTTTTCAAATTGCAATAAAAATTTTATTTATGAATATTTTTTGATGAAATTTTACAGTTAGGTAGATTTTTTTACTCAAAATCCAAAATTAAATAAAAATTTCGAATTTTCTTATTAGAAATCCCGGAATTCCCAAAAAAGTTTTAAAAAATCCCAAAAATGGGATTTTTTGGTTTTTTGCCTATTATATCCATACCAGGGGCGGGGTTATCGAAACCCGTTACAAAATGATTAAGAACTTATTGGGTCATATAAAACAGGTCACTATAATTTGATATCGACTATGCGATTTGAGAATTTTTGCTCAAAATTTAATTTTCCATAAAAAATAGGGTTTTTTTGGATGGACCTGGTCCCCTCGGTATCAAAAATTTTTAGGTTTTGTTTCATTTATCGTATTTTATGTAAAGTCAGCTTTCCAAAATGTATAAATTCTATATACATCTTCTTAGAAACTTTTTAGATAACTTAAAAAGAAAAAGATACTTTTTTCCCAAAAAAATGACAAAAAATCGCCTTTTTTTAATTTTTTAAATTTAAATGCCTATAACTTTGGACTCAGTCATGATTTTTACATAATTCTTTCACTGCTTGGTATATAAACTTGTTGTTAAGCAAATAAAAAAAAATGGCGAAAATCGGAAATATTTGGACCTGCTATTATCAAAAAAACTAAAGTAAGGACGGTAAAAATTTTAAAATTTTAATATTCAAATGCGAATATCTCCTAAACTATAAGAGATAATTTACTGCTACGACGACATTTTTTATAGTGCTCGATGAGGAGATTCTATATACGAAATTTTTTTTAAATCGGAACTCAAATGAAGAAATAGGATCGTTTTAAAAATTTAACATAGCCGAGGTGTCCTAATTTGAGGACCCCCGCCGGGCCCCTGGTTGGCCTATAAGGTCCAAATTCAAAACCTAAACTCGACAACACCTCCTCTTTGTGCATACCAAATTTCATTAAAATCGGATTAACCGTTTAGAAGTTACCGAATTATTTCCCTCTTTTTTTTTCCTATACCACTGTGCCCCGTCTTTTAAATCTAAAAGAGTAAACCATTTTTTCCCTCCTACATATTATATACAATCTTTAATCAAAGGCAAAGGAAAATTATCTCGATTTTTTTTTTATTTAATGCCCTATAGTCTCTACATTCGTGTTTCACCACTTTTCTTTTTAGTTAAAACCATAGCGGATGCATAAGGTGAACTACTGGGTCGTATAATATTTCTATTTAACAGATCGGATGTTATCTTTTGAACTTCATCTCGATCTCGTACAGATAAACGACGAGGAGAACAATAAACCGGCACATCATCAGATAAACGAATTTTTATTTTGTAGTCATGTGGTTTTTTTAATAATATCTGTAGGATTTATATAAAACTTATCAATTATGTTATTCAATTTCAATATTTGTTCATCACTTAGCTTCGAATTGTAATTAATAAAATCTTTTGAAAGTTCTTGAGTATCAGTCAAATAAAAGTCTAAATTACCCTCAACATTAACTTTTGACACCAAAGAAATTTTATCTGTATTATTTATTTCCTGTTTAGAATCAAATATACATACATTTTCATTATCTAACCGTTTAATCATTGAAATTTTAATATCATTTTCTGGTATTACAATTAATTCAATTGATTTAACTATATTTTGAAATTTAATTTGACACGAAATTATGCCATACATTTTCATATTACAATTTCCGATTCCAACATAGCGGGTTGAAAGTAGATCTTCAGAAAGTTGAATAGATTTTGGCACAATTGCTTTAATTGTTAATTAAATTAATTTAATTGAAATTAAATTAATTGGGCTACCCGAATCAATTTAACATGAAACATTAAGATAATTAGCATATTTGTTTCTTAAAGGTAGGAAAAATGCCACACTCACCATTAACATTGGATCAACAACAACAACTTCATTAGAATTAACAACATCTTCTGGAAAAACTGAAGCTGGAATATTTTGACGGTTAGGACAATTTTTATGAATATGTCCCATTTGTTGGCAAATGAAACATGAACCTGGAGGACGTATGGGTTTCGGACATGAACTTTTCGTAAGTCCAAATTGAGAGCAATTGAAACAGCGAATAGAATCTTGATTATTGCTATTAGTTGGCTTTTTTACTTGTGTTTTCCCTTGACGCTTTTCATACAATCTATTACGACGTTTTTCATATCTATCAACGCAGGCAATTAGTTCTTCAACTGTAGTTGAACCATATAAAAGGGAAATGTTGTAGAACTGTCTTGCATACCATAATAATGTCAACTAGTTCTTGGCCTTCAATTTTTGCTTGAGACGCGATGGTTTGCATTAAAATTATGTAGCTAATGCGGGATTCAGAAGCCTTCAAAGTCCATCTTCTCGGGCAATAACCCTTTTAAATATTTTGAAAAGAGCTCCCATCAAATTATTGTATGTCCAATTGCTTGAATTTTCCATAAATTCCCTAGCTGTTCCTTCCAATGACCACTTCAAACATAACAGTTTTTCTTCATCATTATAATTATAAGTATATTCTTCCAATTTTTTAAAAAACTTTTCAATATCATTGTCATTACCACCCTCAAATTTCGGGACCATTTTGTTCAATTCATCATAATTAACCCTGTGTGTTTTACTAACTGAATTATATTTCAGGTCGTTAAGATGTTTTTGTAGGTTTATCATCTCACATCTCATTTTTAATATCTTAATTTGGGTTTCAAGTTCTAGCTCTTGAGATGAAGTTGTAGAATTGGTAATAGGAGCAATGGTTCTCGAGAAATTGGAATAAACTGAAGTATATCTTGGTACGTCATTGTTTACAGGTAATGTTGCGTCAGCTGTTGCATCAAACGATGAAGATGTTCCACCGAGTATTACATTAGGGATTCTTGAAGGAATTGTAACAACAGGGTTTGAATAATTAAAAGGAACGGAATTTGTATAAAGAATTCCACCGGAAGTAGTTTCGGGAATTACAGTAGTAAAGGAATTGACTCGTTGTGTGTTTGATTCAAAAGCACAGAATCATATAAACATCTTAGCTGGCTCATAGTTGCTGATTCAGGAAATTGTATTCCTGATGCAATTAAAGTATCAATCATTTTTTGACGATTTGGCCGTAGATCCATTTTCAATAAACATTTTATTTTATTGCGACCCCACACCTGATTTATAAAATTGCTTTCGTAAAACTATTTTATTTTTCATATTTTTTTTAGTAATAGTAATTTATATCTAAGAAACATTGATTTTTTAAAATAATAATAAAAAGTATTTTTATAAAGTACATTACAATATCACAGTTCGACGAAATCAATAATCTTAATAACCCAGCGGTAAATGAAACAAAGTACTTAGATGATATTCGATGACATCAGTATGACGTTCTAAGCGAGCAATTTAAGTACTTAGAGTGCAATGTATGCGTAATCCAACATATCATCCACTTTAATTATAACATAGATTACGATTTAAGCAGAGAGTTAGCTGCCTTTTTCATGTTGTTCTTATTTCTTAAAGAAAAAAACAGAACTAAAGTACCGTTTTATTTTTCTGTTGTATACTACATGAAAAAAAGATTCTTTTTGTTTCAGTTTATTTTATTTGTAAAAATTTATTATTTTATTGTAAAAATTTAAAATAATTGCGGTGATCTAACGCAGAAACGGATTTAAAAATCGGGGTAAATTTACTTCATATATTCTAGTTTTAATACTGACAATTTCCTGATTGTTTACAGGATCTGTAAAGGAAGATGGCCGAAAGTTTCAATAGAAAATTATTTTTATTTCATTTATCTTCGTTAAAATTGTTTAATTATATTTTTATAGAATTAACTACGTTTATTATTAAAGTGAAGTAAGAATAAGTGAAAGCATCACCACTGACTGCCACGAAATATCACTTAGATAAGCGAGTACATAATGTGTATTTTTACCGCTGGGAAAATCGAATTAAATTAATGTTATTTTTAATATTTTTTCACTTATGACAAATTTATTATTATATTATATTTAATATAATACGTACTAAAGAAGTCATGAAAATATCCCTTCTTCTTGAACAACTTCAAATTTTTTTGCTGGTTGTCCATAGATTTCTTCCAAAAATAAATTATTTTAATAAAATTCAAATTTGTTTATTTTTTAAGATTGCATACACAAAATTTATTAAATAAAATGATTTTTGTTAATAATAAATTGTACTCCAAAAAATAAGTTCGGATTATTTCCCGATACTAATATCTTTATGAAATAATCGTCATGAGTTGGATGCACATATTTACATAAAACAAAAATTATTCAAATTAATTAATATATATTTACATATACATTCATATACATTTTAGCTATTAGAAAAATCAACTTCGAAAATATCTATTTCTTTACTCAGAATTGATTCGCGTTTATCAGATTTTTTTACATATCCAACAATCCAAGCTAACTGTTCACCATTAGTTATGCTATTAAACTCTTGACAAAATTGGATGGAATATTTAGACGGTATTGAAATTAATAAACCTCCTGAAGTTTCTACCGATTTTCCAGTACGGAGCTTGACATCTTGATTCAGTATTTTTCCAAAGGACAAAATATTTTTGAAAACAGGTATTTTGTTAATGACGAATTGAAGACAATCTTTTTGGAACTCTGATAAGTTTTGAGCATGACCGAGCAATCCGAATCCAGTAACATCAGTTGCTGCATTAGCTTTGTATTTGTGCATTAGTTGTGCAGCTAAAAATAAAAAAATTAATCAAATTATTTAAATATGCAGTTATTGTTGGATTTAAATGAGTCAAGTGTTGCCCTTGGTGCTTCGCTACCCTAACCAAAATTAAATACACAAAATTTTGTTTACTTTTATAGAAATTTAGAATTCATTAAACGTTTTTTTAATGTTTCAGTTTTTACGTTCAATATCACGCATTCAGTAAGAAGCATGTATTTTTAGTTTCATTCGATTAGCTTCCACATTATAGAAAATTTCGAAAGTAAAATAGTACTTTCAAAAAAGATTCTCATTTAATCAAAAATTGTATGAATGAAAAAGTACCAAAAGTCCCTTTCAGTAGATTCTCATTCATTAATGTTAAATTTTATATTTCTATGTTCAATATTGAATAAATATCATAAAGTACCATCTGAAAAACGAAAAAGTACAAAAATTTCTGTCTATAATTTCTTATTTAATAAGGACCGTGTGTCATGTGTCCCGGTTAACCATTATAGAGAATCCAAATGGTACCATTTGAAGAATGGAAAAGTACCAAAGAGTCACAACTTACAGAATATTATTCAGTCAAGACCATGTATGTTCAAATTTATGTTCCTAGGTTGGATATTTTTGAAAATTCAAAAAGTACCATTTATAAGATAAAAGGTACTAAAAAGTTCTCTCTTAAAGAATCTTATTCAATAAGGACCTTGTATGCTTAATAATCATGAGTTTTGAATTCATATTATAGAACATGCAAAGAGTATCATTTGAAGAAAGAAAAAGTACCAAAAGCGGAATAAATTCTATTCATAAAAATATAAATTGTATATACATACATATGGGCAATTACATGTCAAGTTAAATTATTTTACCTACTTTTGCCATACTTTTTCAAAATAGACGTTTTTGTTGTATTTTTTTTTTGCTCAAAAGAAAGCTTAGACCATTACCTTTAAGAGCTTTGTGATTATTTAGTGGAATGCGAGTGGGATATATGTATATTAGACTAACCGGATTTTATATGGAGAGAAAAAAATGTCGGAATCTTGTTCGCCTTAACCCCACAAATTCATTCCACTTTCCAGATATTGAGATAGCCGAAATTTGAGCTCGATTGATAAACGTTAACACGTGCCGCTCGTCGCTCAAAGTTTGAAAAAATCCAAATTTTTTGCCAAAAAGCTAACATATGAAGCTATAACTCCAGGACGGTAAATAATAAAAACACGCTTAGTACCTCAAAACAAAGCTAATATTGCACTTCATAATTTATATTATATACATAATTTTTGTTACTTTAAGTCATACAGAGTTACAACAGATTTTGTCTCCAAAAACGTGAACTGGTCGCAGTAGGAGCATACTTCGTATATTTAGATATTATGTGATAAATGATGCTATTAGGTAAATATTTTACATATTATTATTAAAGAATCATAATGTACATGGATTTAGTATTTCAAAAGGATGTAAAACACAAAACTTGGTTCAAAATGTAAAAGTTATTAAAAATTTGCCAGGTCATTAACGTGTCTCAGAGCACTTGATTAGGAAATGCGGAAAAAAATTTAACTTATTTTGGAAAATATTCTAATAAAATTATTTTATTACATAAAATATATCTATATTTACTCGAAAATAAGTTTTTATCATTAAAAGATATCGTGTACCTCATCTATGATCAAAAAAAAATATTTTTTTACACGGCGGTTTTAAAACTCCATTTTAAGTTTTTTTAAATCATTGATAAACAAATTTTAAAATTTCTTATAGCGGTTTCAAAACTCCATTTTCAGTTTTTTTTAAATTATTGTTAAACAAATTTTAAAATTTTTGAAATATCACCTCTTATAGCAGGCGCGAATCCACGGGGGAAAAGGGAAATATTGGAGAGGTCCTGTTTGTCTGGAGAAAATTAAAGATGTCGATTTTCCTCACTAAAATTCAAAGATACCGTTTTTAACAAAATTTTTGCTTTACATTCGAAATTACATTATTATTTCCTGATTTCTCTGATTCCTCTGATTTGAAAGGAAGTTTTTGTCAGTTACAAAATTTTAACGCAAAGCTTCATAAATTAAAGATTGTAAAAAGCCCAGTCGCTAAAGACCATTTGAAATGAATTTTGAAAAACGGTTGTCTATAACAAATAAATTTATATTGTCTGTTGGGTAATTTAAAAAAACATCGAAAAACTGAGATTTTCAACATGACCCTCTCCGATTTCAGTGAAATTCGGAACAATCATTCTTCGTATAAATACGAAATTTAAAGTTCTCCAAAATTTTCAAATACATACTTTACGTTTAGATTTTATCGATGTTAAAAGTTCATATTTTTTAAGATTTTTTTTTTCAACAATTTTTAATTTTGACATGGTCTGTTTTCTAAATTAATTACGTTATTATTGTTCAATTCACAATCAAGTTGTATATTGTACTTACTAAAGTGTAGTAACAGTGATTGTGAACAGATCTTTGCAGCGAGTCATAAGTTTATGATCTCTACGAAAAAAAAACATCTGCCAAAATCGATTGATTTTTTTGTTTATATGTTGAAATAAACAATTGACAACACTAAACTTTCCTATACATTCGAAAACATATGAAAAATTTTCGTAGGAGTTGTATAGAACTTTTGCATAGAAAATACGAACAACATTGTTACGACTATTGTAGCAGCTGCTGACATACTACGCATACAACGCTACAACATCGATTGTGAATTGAACATATATATCTTTGGGGCATTTCAAAAATTTTCTAACAGGTTTTGTACCTTATCCTTTCTGATTTTGATGAAACTTGGTACACCCATTCTTTCTATAAATACGAAGTTACCAAATTCTTCACGGTTTAGATTTTATTAATGTTCAAAGTTCACATTTTTTAAGATTTTTTCCAAAATGTATTAAATTTGACATCTTATATTTTCTAAACTATTTTAATCGTTTATTGTTGAGTACACTATAAGCAATCTTATGTGAAGGAATACAGAAAATGGAAGGTACCTTTTTTGATATATTCTTGACTAAATGACAAGTTACTAAAACATTTAAAATCGGATAAATAGTTTAGAAAATCTACGATGTCAAATTTAATGCTTGTTGATAAAAATTCTAAAAAATATGAACTTTGAACCTCGATAAAAAATTAATATTTAGAAATTTTGGAGAACTTTAAATTCCGTATTTACATGAAGAATATGTTTACGAATTTCATCGAAATCGGAGAGGGTCATGTTCAAAATCCTACTTTTTTGTTCGAAATTTTTTAAAATTACCCCTTCCTTTATCGTTATATTAACAATATAATATAATTTTAAATATTATGCTTCTTGAAAATAATTTTAAAAATATAAACTTTGATCATCGATAAAATCTAAACTGTAATGAATTTGGAAATTTAGTATTTACACATTGAGTGTGTGTACAAATTTTTGAAACTTTCATATAAAAAATTGGGTATAGTCATCAAAATCAAGTAAACTCGTCACAACCAAAATATATACCGAGCGAAAAAAAAAGTTCGCACCCCCCCCCCCCCAAACGCTTGAGCTGGATCCGCGCCTTTCTTATAGTAAAGCTGTACCTGCGATTTGAACTCTGCGAATTTCGGGAAAAACTTATTTGTTTGTAATATTTTACAAAATATGTCATAATTCCTTACTGTTATACATTTTAAACAAAATATTTACAGAATATTATATCCCATATAATATAAAATATGTCCCTGAAGTTATATATCGGAGTTATATATCGGAAAATCCTAAGGCGTAAACTTTGGAGGTCAAAGGTCAAATTTAGCAATATTTAGAAATTCTCATTAAAACATGTCGAAATATTATTTATTTGTTCGCTATATTTTCTAAAATTACAGGAATTTATAATATATGGGCCGATATTTAAAACAACAACAAAAAAATAAAATTAACCCTTTATTTTTTAAAATTATATAGAGCATTATTAAAATTGATTTGTTGAACTTAGGGAATATATTGGACCCAAGTGCTTTAAAGGGTTAATTTTTATTTTTTTTTGTTATTTTAAATATCGGACCATATATTATAAATTTCTGTAATTTTAGAAAATAAAATAGTTTTATTAGAATATTTTCCAAATAAGTAATATTTTTTTCCACATTTCCTAATCAAGTGCTCTGAGACATCTTAATGGCCTGGGGAATTTTTAATAACTTTTACATTTTTGAACCAAGTTTTGTGTTGTCTTTTTGAAATATTAAATCCATATACTTTATGATTCTTTAACAATAATATGTAAAATATTTACTTAATAGCAACATTTATCACATAATATCAAAATATACGAAGTATGCTCCTACCGCGAACAGGTCACGTTGTTTGAGACAAAATCTGTTGTAACTGTGTTTGACTTAAAATAACAAGTATTATGTATATAATATAAATTTTGAAGTACAATATTAGCATTGTTTTGAGGTAGTGTGTTTCTATTATTTACCGTTCTGGAGTTATAGCTTCATATGTTAGCTTTTTGGCCAAAAATTTGGATTTATTCAAACTTTGAGCGACGAGCGCCACGTGTTAACGTTTATTATATTTCGGCTATCTCAATATCTGGAAAGGGGAATCATTTAGTGGGGTTAAGACGAACAAGATTCCAACATCGACTTTTTGCGGTCATTCTAGTGTGTACGATACAAAAATACGTTTGTTACATTATTTTAACAAATTAAGTTATATATTTTCTATCTATTTGCATTTTTTGTAATTTTATTTTTTAATTGTCTCCAACCAATGAAAACAAACAGCTGACTATGATAAATAACCGATAAAAATTAGAAATGACACTCATTAATTCGTAATTCGCAGCTGAAATTTTGTATGGCCAATCATGTCATTCAGTATGTAATTGAAATTTGTCGATCATATCTTTGATACTTATAGATCGATTTTACTGGTTTTACACAGGGAAATTTCAAAGAGTATATCTATTAAAATAATCTGTGATTCGGATTCCGAAGATATATGGGGCCTTCAG